ACCCCTCCCCCCTCCCCTTCCACCACAACAGACTTACCAGCTGCACACAGCTCTCCAAGCTGCCAGGCTGTGCTTCTAGCTACCTACAAGTTACGCTGTGGCTATGCATACACAAGGGCATTTATTGACCAAATTATCGGCCACATCAGGATGATTTCCAATATGATCAATTTTCTTTATATCGGTGTTGATCCGATATCAGACCAATATATCGGTGCACCTCTATTAAATGTACATTTTCCCATGGCACCCTCTAGTGGATTTTTTCTTTAATCAAACAGAACAGACCACTCACAAAGTGAAATTTCCTGCTCTCTGCATTATAGCCTTCTCTAAAATAAAAGCAGTGCCCACATGCTTTATCAGCAATGCCAAATTAACGTTGGAATATAATATTGTATGTCCACATTGCAATCACAGCAAGCATACTTATGGAGATTCCTAACTGACAATTGCAAAACCTCTTCTGGTTATCACTTTATTCCACTATACTAGAACCATTTTCCCAGGATAAATGTCATGGAATATGTCCCCAGAAAAAAATCAGGAAATGCCTAAATTAAAGCTTCCTTTGCAACCACAGTTTGGCCTCTTGTGCATGTGCAGTATGATATAATCTTTATATCAATATCAGTCTTCTTTCCATAGGACCTCTGTCTAATTTAGTTGCTGATCAATAGTTCAGTATTTCTTGTTATTCAGTATATTGTTCCAGGTCTTGTTTAATGCCACTCTGCAACCATGGACTGAATGCATGGTTCTCTTACTGTCATATCTGAGTGTTTTATAAACTTTACTGAATGTATCTTTGCACACCTCTCTAAGTTTACCTAGCATTATTGCCCCCATTTTTCAGCTGTGCAGCTGATTCACAAGTTACATGAAAACCAAAATTATAAAAATATCCATTATCTTTAGGTGCCCTGTTTGAGACAACTAAAACATGATTTTTCAAACCCCTCAGCATTTTTAGAGCAGTTTGCAGGTTCAAAGCACAACTCTCATTGACTTTAGTTACAGTTGTGAATTATCAGCATTCCTACAAATTTGACACCAAATTTCTTTTGTTGGCACCTAGAAAATGAAAAACAAACAATTAATGGCCAACCATGATTTATCTAGTCTCAGATAGCAACTCTGTGGTACAGGCCAAGTTAGAATTCATACTATCCTAGCATTCAGCTTCCATAAACCTTCTACATCTTCCCATTTGCAACAAATGAAGCAAGGGTTCTACAGAAAACAACCATCCTCACTTTATCACTCTGATTCATTCTTTGAACACAGTACATCTTTTGTACCAAATGAGGCAAAAAATCGCCATAGGACAAAAAGGACTTTAATTAAACATAAAAATATAATGCAAAGGCACAAGAGAAGTGTTTGTATGGGAAACTACTTTTAGAACTTCCTAATTCCTGGATGCTTGAATGTGCAACCTTGATGTACTTTTAATCTAATTTATAAATGTAACATCTATTTTTCTTTAGGAAACAAAGCTTAAAAAAGACCCAATTAAATACCATGATGTGGAACCATACTGATCCTCAGCCTGAGTCGTTGGCATAATTCAAACCTTTGTATCTACAGCATTTCAGACAGAAACTCTTTCCCTGCCTTTACCAGTATGAGGAATGCAATCCCAAATTTGAGCTGCACCTACAAAATTTTTAATTCTGGAACTACAAATAGAGTTTATTCTGATAAAGCATAAGAGCAGGTTTTGTTTTAAGGTCAAATGGCAATAGAGCAAATTACCATTTTATATGGTCACCCAGTTCTTTGCCAGTAAGCAGTCCAGGATATCTGAACAATTCTGAGAACATCCAAGTTATTGCATGAGAAGAATGCACACATGGAGAGAGAATGTGATCATTAGATATTTTTATAAACGATTATTTTTGGTGATTGTAGATTTCATGTCCATTACCTCAGCCGGAAGACTTACATCATAACCTTCCTGCAAAGGCCTCTTACATCCTATTTTTCATATTTCTGGCAGATCTGTGGCCAAGCTTGCTGGTTTTGCAAAAATCAAGCATCAGTCAGTGAAAAAGCTTTCCACTGAAAGTGAACAGAGCTGAGAAAGAGACACAGAGAGGAGAGGAAGAAGGTGACTAGGCTAGAGGCTGCACCACCAATCCAGGGGACTCCTTTGGGGTCTTAGAAAAGACCCCAGGGCTAGAGGTAACTGTTTTATAGTTTGTGCACACATTTGATTTATGGTTTATACTGCCTGGGGGCGTGAAATTGCCCCACAGGACACAGTATAAGTCATATATCAAATACAAACACAAATAATAAAACAGTTACCTCCAGCCGTAGGGTCATTTCCCAGACCCCAAAGGGAGCACTGTGGCACAATGTTACCACCTCTACTGGTAGTGCATACTCATTCTGTCATCGTTCTTCCCTAGGAGCCTTTTAACTTCCTCGGGGCCAGCCAATTATCCTCCTCAGCTGGCCCAATGCTCCCATGCAGCCAGCAATTTCTTGCTGCCTGCAGCTGGTCTGCAGTTCCTCAGACACACAACTTGTTACAGTAAGGTCTATAAATCATCCACTGTAAGCAGACTGGACTATAGTAACTGTGCTGGTTATTTAGATACATCCAAGGGGCACAACAGGAAGGTAGTCCTTCTGACAGAGCAAATGGGAAATCATCAAGGAAAGAGCATGTAGAAGAAAAGTGATTCTCTGTTCTTTCATGCCATTCTTGGCTATACGCATCCCTTCCCTGGACAGGCCACTAGAGAAGACTTGAGTCATTGGCAAAGCCAGACTAACCAGTTACAAACTTGCAATATATCCTATATGCATTAGAAGCTTCAAGAAGGCCTCCACTTCCTAATTCTAGACAAAAAAAAAGACAATAATGACACAGCCAGAAACCTTAATTATCAACTCACCCGGTCTGATTTTTCAGTGGGATGTATCAAGTTGACTGTATCTGTCCACTGCCTGACTGGCTGAAAAAGCTGGCAGGGCCCAATATTAGCCTATTTGTAGCAGTAGTCTGAAGACTGTTTAATATTAGCGTAGCTTGATTTGTGTTTTGGTATGTGGTTCTGACTCGTGGTTCTGTTTTTGGTTCTTGTTTATTCATTTGTGACTCTCAGAGTCTATCTCCTATCATTGATCTCCTGACTCTTCCTTCTCTTCCCACACCACCAAAAAAACCCCCAAACCCTAGCAGATGCTTGAAATCCTGTTTTCACCTTTGTTATTTTAAGGGACATCTTTATTTCTTATTTTTCAGTTCTATTTATTCACTTTTTTTGTGGGGAATGCATCTGTGTGGGAAATACATCTTCAAGACTTTCTCAAAAGTAAATGTTAAATTTTTGTTTAAACTAGTTAATAGAGTCTCTAGGGTTAAAGGGTAGCATTGTTTAAGTTGTTATTATGCCTCATATAATAATTACCTCTATGGAGTGGAAATATTCTGCATTATTGTGGGGATAAGGGGAAACAAGAATATGCATAAAAATGTAATAAGAGCAAGATTAATGAAGGTATTATTATTCACCTACAGTACTTGTAAGCTGTACTTCTCTATGATAAATCGGAGGAATTTGCCATCTGTATTGGTACCTCTCAAACCAAAGATCTAAGAATACGAAAACTTTATTGCAAAAACTGAAATTATAACATAAGTCTCCTAACCCCTTGTTAAATGCAAAGCCATCCTTCCTTTACTCAGTTCTTTGCACATAATGTAAGAATGATGTAGCCATGACAGTCCAGGAATGATTCAAGAAGCAAGGATTCCTTAGGGTGATACCTCTTATTGGACCCACTGGGCACATCTACACAAGGCGCTACTGCACAGTGGTTACTGCACATTTATTTAATACTTGTACAAGTACTAAATAAATGCACAGTAACCCGAGTTATTGCCCAGTAGCACCAGTGAATGCCTTTTAAGTGATGGTACTGTATAGTAGTCTAATAGTACTGTGCAATAGCATCTCAGCATGGTTTTTGCCACGTGACGCTACTGTTCAGTAGTACCAGGCTACTGCGCCGCCAGGACCTCATGCAGACCCGCTCACTGTATACCTGGGGTAGAGCTAGACAAATTTTCCAATGCAAGACACTGATGAAGAATATCCTACGTGCGGAACCTTGTCTAACTCTACCCCACCTATACAGTGGGATCAGTAAGAGATATCCCAGCTTTTGAGTGCAAGACATGGATGAAGAGTGCCTTGCATTTGACAGCTGGTCTAACTCTACCCCATCTCAAAGGAGATCACCCTAAGAAATCCTCGCCTCTGGCAGATAACGCAACACATTTTAGATCTTGACTGGAGTTAGGAAACCACAGCAGCAAGCTCTGCACCTTCTTAGCTGCAGAAAAGAGGACCCTACTACTCTTTGCTTCATATTAGTAGCCTTTTAGTTCATTTTTTTCCCTTCTTCCTGCAGAAAACAGAATTTCCTAGTCTCCGCTTCATATTAGTAGCCGTTTAGTTCAACTTTCCCCCTTCTTTCTTACTTGTGAGCTAAGCAGGAACACTGCTGCCTTTGTCCCCCACTCCGTGGATACTTCCCTTCTCCCCCCTCCCCTCCCCTCCTTTTCCTTTCTGAAACTGCGGGGTCACTTTTTCAAATAAAACCCATTAAAAAAAACAGGTCCACTGAACTGGTGTATTCTTCCAATTCACTTAACCTCAGGTGAAGAAATGTGGAAGCTACTTGCTAGGACTTCCCCAGGACTCCCTACATCCCTCCCAAGAGGCCTGATGCCTTTTTGTTATTTTCCCGCACGGGAAGCAGTGCTGTTTGAAAGGCGGAGGCCGCGGGCTGGGGGTGCTGCGGCCCCTCCCGAGCGCCGGGAACCCTTTTTCCCCGGAGCAGGGTCAGGGGGACGGGCCAGCGCCGCGCCGGCAGGGAGCAGGCGCCGGCAGGGCTGGGGGCGGCATCCTCCCGGGCGGCGCGGGGCATGATGGGAGAATCCTTGCAGCATCCCGCCCGCATGGCAGCGCGGGCGCCGGGCGCAGCATCTTTGGAGCCGGGTGAGGGCGGCGATGGTGTCCCAGGCGGTGCAGCTGCTGCGGCAGGGCGTGTGGGCGGCGCTGACCGGCGGCTGGTACCACGACCCGGAGCACAGCACCTTCACCAACAGCTGCCACCTCTATCTGTGGCTCTTCTTGCTGATGCTGCCGCTGGCGCTGCACCTGGTGAGCGGGGCGGAGGGGGGCTCTGCCAGGGCACAGAGGGCAGTGTCTGTATGGGGGTCCTGGACCAGGTCGGGGAATTGGGTCTGCGAGCAGGGGAGAGGGGTGGAAATTAGGGGGAAGGGGAGACGTTCACGTGACCCCCGTTTAATCAGGAGGTTGTTCCCTTCGTGCCTTTAAAAAAAACACAAAACAACAACTTTCCGCCCCACTTCTCTCCCCCTCCTTCCCCTTTGCTGCATTCATGTCTTCCTTGATGGGCAGTCCCTGTTCCTCTGCGGGTGAAACGCTGTCTGTTTTGCTCTTCCTCTTGCTGAAGGGAGTGAGCAGAATGGGTTCACTGCCATGGCCAAAGAGGAATAAATAAAAGGAGTCGGCATTTGCGGCTGTGGTTGAGGCGGTGTCATTTCAAGGCCCATCGTCCCCCTGGCTTTTCTCATCTTCCTGGCAAAACTTTCCTGTTTTATCCTGAAGTACTGGATGGCCTTTTGGTCTAATGATCAAGTTATTCTGCAGGGAGGGACATTAACAGCTTAATTGATACTAGGTAATGCCTGGGGCCAATCTGTTTCACTTTTGTATAGCAACATGGATGCAACATAAACCATGTGTAAACACACAATACAGACAGGAAGCTGCCTAAAAATCCGTTTCAGACTGGCCTATCACTCACTCACACACATTTAAAATTTCCCTGAAGGTTAAGCGCTATTGTAAGGCCCAGAACCACAAATCCTATTGAAGTCACTGTGCTATTCATATAAAGGTGGCAGGGTTGTCTCCTAGAATTAATGTGAATCAACATCTATGTCTGTCTTCAGATTTTCCCTTAAAACACCCTTGTTTTAAGTAAATACTAGTTTGGCCTTCTGAAAAGGATAAATAAGTAAACGGAATACAAAATCCCAAACGTATGAAGATATGATGGATGCTAAATTTCACTGGCCACACCACAAATTACCACATCTCTTCTTAACTCAAATTTGCATTCTGTTGGCTAAACTTGAAAAAAATTAAATGTTTAATCTAGTTTCAGAGGTCTATAACACTAGTATTTAGGACTCAAAAAGTGGGTTTGGAAGAGGGCATTTTGTTAGCTAGTGTGTGAATTTAGTGATTTATTACCCAATATCTAGCTCCTGACTTTACACTATTAGCATTTATTTTGGCATTATGGTCATGGATTCCTTCATTCTACAGCATTTTTTTTAATAAAGAAAATTCCACATTAAACACTGTTCTTCCTTACTGCTATATCTCAGAGCCTATTGGCTTGATTTTTCAGAACCCGCTTTGTGTCCTTCTAAAGTACATTGAAGAAGCATATGATCAGTTCTGGATATCACGCTATATGTCCTATTCATTGGGTTCCCCTGAGCATGCTCATGGACTCTAGTTAAAGTAACAACACACCATGCTTTTTTTGAGTATGTCATGCTAATTTCCAAGGCTGTAAGAGCTTTAGGTTGCTGTTGTAAATGAGCACCCATCAGAGTGTGGGGACATCTACACATTCACTAATGTGCTTTTCCTAATGCACATTAAATTTATTACCTACAGTGTGAGGTACTAAATAAATGCGCGTTAGGCTGCCCTAATGTGCAGTAGCAAAAGCACACACTTTTTGGGACACTTAATGTGCAGTAGCTTATTTTATGAGCATTTATTAGCGTAATTGCATGATTTCTTCCACAACACTTTAATGCACAGTAAAATAGGCTACTGCACATTAAAGCGTAAGTGTAGACACGCACTGTGATCTGCAGTAAACAAACAAAAACAATCTTTTTTTCCCTTTTCCCTAGGTGTACATAGAGAAGCATGTACAGGAAATACAGTTTCCTGGAAGATTTTAGAACTAGTAACTTATGAGAGAGGCAGTGGGAGTTTAAAAGACCATCAAGCCCCAAAACTGAGGGATAAAACAGAGATCAGAAAGTGGGAATTATTTAAGATGAAGGTGAAGAAGATTAAACTTGTGCACAAACTTTCCACTTCCTGAGTTCCTTCTTCATTGCTTCAGCAAGCCTTGCTTTCTGCAGGCTGGCTGATTTTCTGATGAATCATCTTGTCAGATGCAGAGCCTGTGTTTTCAGGCTAACATACCACAATTGGCCTTTTTTATCCTGGATAAGAATATTGCATGTAGTAGGCAGGCTGATTAAGAATAATTGTGTCTTTAAGTCTTTATTTTCTTTTAAGTGCTTTGCTTTTGAAAATGATATCAGAGATAGCCAAATTATTGGAACTTGGAAACTTTAACTTTTTTAAGCAATTTTTTTACTCTGGGAATCTTTTTTATAATTTTTTAATGCCGTATTCAGATTATACACACATGTCTTGCGAGGGTAAAGAAAAAAATGCTTGATTTTTATTTTCCTTTGTTCCAGTTTGTCTTAATCAAAACTTTTGAAATCATAACATCTGTTTGGATGTTGATGAAAGGGCAGATTTTGACCAAAAATCAGAATTTTTCTGACAAGTTTTAGATGAGGCATATAAAAACTAAAACAAAAACAGCATGGGGAAGCTTGTGCTATGTAGGCTGAATCAGTGGTACAGACTAAACATTTTTGTCTCTAGCACTTTTTGCCATTAATGGTTTTGTTATCAAAAAATACCCACACCTGTGGTTCTCTTTCTTCACCAGGTTCGTAATTGTCTGTTTCTAATCTTTATGATAAATTAAAAATGTGCTTTGAATAAATATTCGGGACATAATTGAAATTATCATCAGAACTCCAAAACTGTTATATGCCCTGCAACTTGTTTTATTGCACTGGTCTGAAAAGAGATTAGGTGAATTAATTAAAAGAACTAATTTATAATCTATATCCTGATCCAATCTACTTTTCTGTCTGAGAGAATACTGTTGCTTCTTTTACAAAGCCATTTGGCCAAATTGCTTCCCCCCAAGTAATCCTGTTGAAAACAAGAGATGAATTCATGTCCGCTTGTGACGTAGTTTATTTCACAAGTTACAAGACAATGCATGCCCAGATTTTGTTGAGTCACTATTTGTGGTTTTAGTGACTGTTTTTTGTGCCTCATTTTAGACAGAAGGATTCCCTGAATTTACTGATTGAAAAACTCACTACTTCTTTTGCTTTACGTACACAAATTACATTATGATGTGATAAATCTAGATGTGGCATTTGAGTTTATTCTTACTCAAGCGGTTTTATTTTCCATGTGTTTTCCCAGGTGATTAAATTGGATTGTCAAGTGATCATCACTCAGGATATATAAACTTCAAAATCAAATGTTTATCTTCGCAGTATTTCTAGCTCTCTTTTTTATTGCCAGTTAATTGCATGTAGGTATATTTGCAGTTTAGTTGTTTTTATCCGGTAACACATCAATATATAAACCAGCTTTAATTCTTCTTTCTAATTTTCAAGCTGTGATGTTTTCTTACAAGGTGAAATATCTTTCTAGTAAGAAATACCTCTCTAATATCAATAGAAACCATACTACAATAGAAGCCTGAAGGACAGTGACAGTTAGCATTTTGAGTATTTAGTGATGCCTGGAAGCACTGTAAAAGTGTAGAGATGCAATATAAGATCACTACTTTCTATTAACATATTAATCTGTTTGGCTAGTCAGAAGACCACAACTGAAGGGGTACACAAGGTTTATGCATGTTTGCTTCTGCAAAATCATTGATGCACTGTACTTGGATATTGTAAGGTGTTCTCTAACAGCCACTTGTCACCTGGGAGTACCTAGCAGGTGCCTGTAGGGAATCCCTACATTGTGATATAGAGTGGTTTCTTTCAAACACATTCCTAGAGACTATTTAGCACTTAACATTGTGAAGAAAACCTTGTAATATTAAAATACATCTTTTGAACATTTATGTTTAATCATAAAATAAACTGTAACTACCATTGATGACCAATTGTTTTCCTTTGTCTATTCTACAAGCTGATATCGGCCTTGGTGGGAGAGTTGGGGGCAGGGAAGGCTCCAGCCCAATAAAGTACATAAGTGCATGCTTAACTTTCGTAATGTGAGTCATCCTTTCAGCTTCAGTGGAACTCCTTGCATGTTTGAAGTCAGCTGTGTACTTGAGTACTTTTAATTAGTACTTCTGGAAGTTGAGATGCAATGTACCTATATTCAGGTAACAAACCCATTACTGTAAATACGTAAACTGTCCACTCCTCCGTAATACTTTTTATTAATGAATCATAAAAAATGGGACAAAATTTTTCTTTCCCATGAAAATCTTGCATGTATACTTACAGCTGCACTCACCTGATTTTGGATAAGGAATAATAATTCCTACTTTCATAGAAGCAACAAAGAAGTGGAAGTGATCAAATATATTAAACTTCAAGATCAAGATAAACATAGTGGTTTGTGGTTTGTTTAGATCTGAACAAAAAATGAAAATAAATATATTCTAATTTATGCACTTATGCCTATACCTACAGACATATTGCTAGCTACACCTGTCCTTTAGAAATGCCTAAATTCCCTGCTTGAAATGCACCATGAAGTAAAGCAAGACTTCTCCTGAAATCTGTTTTGCATGCAAGTGACCCTTGAGTGGTGACCATCAAAATACAACATTTAAGGAACAGTCCAAAGCCCATTACGGTTAGAATCTGTCCATTGCGTTCACTATGCTTTTATCAGACCTTTCTGTAGTAGAGCCTCTCTCTAAATTGTGCAGTGGCACAGTAAAGTTTATCTGAAAAATGCCTGATTGCAGATTTTAAACCTTTTAGGCAAATGTGACTAAATAGAGAAAAAAACTCAGTTAATATAATAATCAAGGCTTTGATCCTTCAAAGAGAACTGGAGGGATCTATCTGCCCACTTCTCTTTGTACAAGACATGGCCTTAATCAGTAAAATGTTGCATGTCTCTGGTTTCTATCATTTGAAAGGACTTTCTAAGGAGAGCTGAATTCCTGCTAACTCATTTTAATTATTAGGAGAGCTGTTGCTGGTCATTAACATTTGCAAGTTAGTATTTAAGCAAAGCTTTAAAAAAACAAAGAGAAAAACAAAGCTACTTCACAAAATGGACATTGTCCCTTTCTCTTTTACAAGTTCAGATTATTTATTTAATACTCCATTGTACACCAGTAAAGATACTTGTGCAAAACCAGCAGTCTTAGTGATGGAAGATCAAGCTTAAATGTTTTTTTCTGTTAAATTCTTGCTATTAATTGGGATGAGACTGACAGTAGTTTCTTATTAGTTTTTTTATAGATTAAAAATGTTCTCCTGATTCTATGTCTCTGTGTTCCTAAACAAACACACAGTGGGCGCATCTACACAGGGCCTTTACAGTTTATTAATTAGCTGTGTAGTAAAATATTACTGTTTACATGTGCACCAGTACTAGGGTACAGTAAATGAATTAACTCTGCCATAGGAGGATAGTACTGTCCTACGTTTGTGTAATTATGTGTGCTGAAATACATGTGTAGATGGTGACAGGCTGGCTGCGGCACAAGGCTGCTAAAGTGCAAGGGCTGCCTGCCACTTTGTTCTGCACTGTAACACCCTTATGCCCGAGCCAGCCCCTCTGCCACCCAATGCTCCCACCTGGAGCCCAGAGCTGACCCCCTGGATGCCCTGCCAGCCGGGCTGCTCTGCCCCAGCTCAAACTGCTGTGGTCCTGGGCACATGTACAGATGCTGTGCCTGGGAGCAGCTGACTCCAGCCCAAACTGTGCTGGGGTTTACTACATCGTTTTAATGGCATGTGTAGATGCACCTACTATATGCACTTCTTGCACCTATTGCCAGCCCATGGTTGGAGGGGAAGATGTTTTAAGAGGTCTCAAAATAATTATTGTAATAATTTTTTATTGATTTTTGATCAAGTAACTTTCATAGTCGATCAAAAGTACATCTGATATCCAAGTTTGAAATCTAAATACTCCATAAAGCTTCAATTGAGATGAAGTATGGCTGCATTTCTTGTTTTTTATTTCAAGTGATGGGAAAATCTTACAGTGTTAATTGTTTCAGGCAATAAGAAATTAAGGGTAACCCCCCCCCAACACTGTGAGTAAGTAATAGTATCTTCTTGTGATAAGTTAGTATCATTAACTCTCTCTCTCATTTCTTTCCTTAGGCTTTCCCACCAAATGCAGTAACAGTTTTTATATACTGCAGTTCTGTGACTGTGTTCTTCACGATAATAAAGGTGATCAGTTATCGTCTGCATGTGATGTTTGATAAAGGAGAAGTAATTCAACAAAGGATCTCAAGAAAGAATGGAAGACAAAGTAAAGATAAAGAGGCCACAACAGAAAATGTAGGTCAGCACTCTACTCTTCGGTAAGTTTTTTTATTATGCAGAACTGTTTTATAACAATGACAAGCCCATGTCCCAGCCCTGCATAGCAGACTTTTGTTGTCTTTTATAGCAATTTTAAGTTGTGCAAGCAAGGACCTAATAAGTCCTCTCAAAGGACTGGCAACTCATGTAAGTGGATCCAGCTTCTCTGATGGGACAGGTATGTTACAACTGTAACTGAGGAGGGTGGGGCAGCACCTAAGATTAATAAAGGGTGTAAGAAGAAGTAGGAATAGAGAGCTGATTGGGATCTGATAAGGAAACCCTGGGGAGAGGTAAACTAGTTCCTTGAAAAGACTGAAGCAGGAGTGAGAAGCAAAGCAGTTTGCATGTGTAGCTTTCTGAGTTGAGGGTGGAGAAAGCTAAAGCAGAAGGGGAAGAGCTGATAGGTTTATCTGTGACTGAGTTGTTTTGTGGGGCTGGGGAAGGCAAATAGCAAGAAAGTCTTGCTTGATGGATTTTCTAGCATGGAGTCAGAGAAGTGAGAGCTGGGGAATCAGTGGAGAGATTTCACCTGCTGACTTCTGCAACCCAGAACCAAAAGGGGTTGAACTCAAACAAGAATATCAGAGGCTTGCCTTTTGCCATGTGAGTCAGAGAATAATTAGTAGTGTCTCCTCTCTCTGAAGAAGAATTTTCAAAGAAGTAAAACCAGGAAACTGTGTTGGACAGGGTTCTCACAGGGAGGGAACTGAGGAACTTGTTGAGTAATAGCAGATGAGGTTAGGTTTGGGGTCTCTGTTTCCTATGTACTTGTGTAAGTTTTCTTATGTGCTTGTTTTAAGATTCACTGGGCACATCAGACAAGCACGCAAGTGCCTCTTGTAGCATCTCAAAGCCCTTTGAGACTCTACAAGAAGCATGTGCAGGAACAAAGTTTCCCTGAGCTGCAAATTTGTAGTGCAGGGGCAAAATTAGGCCCCTGGTATCCAGGGGCCAAAAAATACCTGGGGCAAAAAAAGCGGGGCAGGGCATGGTCCAGGACTATGACCTGAGGCAACCAGAGGCTCGGGTCTTCCACAGAGATGCTCTGGTATCCTGCCACAGCATATCTGTGGCTGGCTCTCGCTTTGGTGCCAGCCACAGGGAGCTGGACCTGGGTTCCATTCTGGTAAGTAGGGAGGGCAGGATTGGAGGATGGGGGGGTACCCCTGCCTGGCTCCATCCCCTGCCCGCTCCCCAAGCCCCCTGGATTACTGCCCTGCCCAGTCCCATCCCCTGCCTACTCCCCCAGTCCCCCCGATTGCTGCCCCACCCACCCCAGTATCCCTGCACTT